CCCCCCCCCCCAGGACCCCCCTTGGGTCCGTCAGTGGCTCAGTTGATAATTAATATTAGTCCATATGGTAGTGAGATCATCATCACATTATCTAATGCATAATAATGTACTCTTTTATTAGACAATGTGGTAGGAACCCACAACCACATAAGATGATGCTAATCACCGGTGGGATTGAATCTCATTATTCTTATATATATATTTAATAATTTTTAAACATCAAGTTTCTCTAAAGGCTAATTAACTTCTTAAAAAATATAAATAAGATTTTTGATATACAGTTTTTTAAATAAATTAAAAAGAAAATAAATTTTGGCCAATGCATTTCAATTTAACTATTTATTAAGTTTGTATTTTTATTTATTTAAGATAAGTTGTATAACATTATAATATTAGCAAGGGTATTTAAGTCCTTTTAGGGGCGGACCTAGACATTTTTTGTTGTGGTGTCAAAAATTAAAGTGTAATTCTTTAAAATAATAATAATATAATATTAATGAAAATAAGTTAATATAACTTTTGATACTTCGAAAACGTCTTATAATTATATCATTATCAATATTATTAAATGAACTTTGCTACTTTTATAGTTTTATTTACCATTTCGTTGACAGATGATAAGCTGAAGGCGAGTAAATTAAATTGGATGTAGGAAGAAAATGAATAGAAATAAAATTCACATTTCACCTCGGAAGTAAATGAAATTTAAATTTAATACAAAAGTAATTCAAAATACATTTAATCTCTAACGATTCTAAAATTTTTGACATCATATCCCATATAAAAAATTTTAATAAAATAATGTAAATTATATTAAAAAATTTATCGTTCAAAAACAATAAATTTTTAATGAAATAATTGATTTTTTTAAGAAAAGATGAGATAGATGCCTCTTTTAATATGTACGTTTGATGCATATTTAACTCTTTTCGATATCTTTTTGGACCATGAAATATGACTATAATATAGTTCTCGAAACGAGATTCTAGATGACGTAGGCGATTTATGGATTTGGATAGTACACGATCATCAGCGAATTTTGAAAGTTAACATATTATCGAAATTCTTAAAATACTAGTTTGGATCAACCATAGGTAATGCTAATGGATGTGCATTATCCATATAAAAATGTTTTAAGACTTTTTTTGTATATGTAACTTGATAAACAAATAATCTTTTGGGAAATATTCAATCTGCAACTCGAGACCGAATTTGATTTTTTTCAAATCTTTTATCTCAAATTCATTTTCAAATAATATGCATTATACCACATGCGTCCGGATTGTTTCAATCCATATAATGATCTTTGCAATTTAATTGAGAACATGGTTGTCGGGTATGTATCATTTGTTTCTCGTACTTT